AATGGTAATGTTTGTGTATACTATGTATTTTATAATATAATAATAATCTAATACATCTAATATATTATTTATGTATTTAATTATATTTTTAATACTTACTAATCTAGCATTAATTTTTTTTTTGATGAATTAAAATGCCAAAAGAAAAGCATTTATTTGAAATAGAAATATTTTGTAACATTAAATGTCTTTGTCATTTTTGATCAATTTAATGTGTCCTTGTTGAATAAAAGTATTAATTTCTTTCAAAAAAATATTACTGACCCCAAACCTTCGAACAGTAGCGTACATCACATTATGCAAGTAAAATAGGTTTTAAATGCCGTTTCATGTTTATTTTAATACACACAAAACATTTTATAAGTAAATAAGTATGGATCTACAGGATGTTGTCTTTTTTACAGCCGGATTCCCAGGGAAAATGCGCTCAGACTGACAGCGTGTCTGGACTGGAGCCTCAGGTGAACACTGAGGGACAGGTCAGTTCATCTGTCAATCACATATTCAAATGAAGCAGTGAAATATGAAAACACTCTTGGTAAGGTATGATTTTCCCCTTTTTCCCCTAAACTTTTCTTATCGTCTCAGATGTACGCCGATTCAAGATCGTACATTATTATTGAAATTGCTGTGGAAAAGCCACTGGCTCCAAAGAGACCGCCGGAGGAGCTGGCCAAACGGTGATAGGAAAGAGTTTCATTCAAATTCAAAGCATTGCGTCGTCCTCAGATATGCTGCTTCATGTGAATTGATTCTGTCTGATACAGGGTGATGGAGCTGGTTCCTCCCAGACCTCCACTGCCTCGACGGCCAGCAGGAGCAGAAAGAGTAAAAACAACATTTGTTCTTGATTTCTCACCGCTTCTGTCATTTATTTTTTTCTCACAGTCAGATCTGTGGGAAATCTTTTGTCTATAACAGTTTATAGCAAAACAGAATGGCTGAAACGTGCTATGAAATGCCTTGGCCATACTGTGTTATAAATAAGAATAATATGAATCTAATATAAATATGAATAATAATAAATGTGCTTGATATTATCAGGCAGTACAGGAATACCAGTCTCAGATAGCGAGTGTGGCCGCTCAGGTGTTGGATCAGTACCAGCAGCTGTTCGGGGCAGCGTTTCTGCCGGGTGGGAAACCTCTGGACCCAGTCCTGCTGGAACAGCGTAAAAACCAGCTTCTCGGAGAGCTCAACTACTCTGGGAAATACTTTGCCTTCAAGGAACAGATGAAGGTAAGTTTCAGTCAAGTCCATTTGCAAGGTTACTTGCAACAAAACAGTCATAATTTAATGTTTCATAATTCCCTCTCTCTGACCTTTAGAATAAAGCAGGCTGTTTTCAGTGTTATTTAGTATTATTTCTATACTATTATGGAATTTATTAATATGTTGAATTAGCTTTTATTTTTATGTTTTTAGTTTTCCTTCATTTTAGTTCATTTTAGTTATTTTATTATGTGATTGTGTGATTTTTATTAGGCATTTTTCTGGTTTTATTTCAGTTTTAATGTTAGTAATTTTAGCACTTCATCTTAAATTTTATTTTATTCCAGTTTGCTGCCAAGGAAACATTTCTAATTTTATTTTTAATTGTATTGATTTTTTATTACACTTTTTTATTTCTAATATTCATATTTTATTTTAAATCAGCTTTGTTTCATTTAACGCTGTTTTGCTTCAACATGTGCTTCTTCTACATGTAGACAACCTTTGTAATGTAAAAGCAGTTTTATTTGTTTATTTATTTGGATCCCCATTAGCTATGCCCTAAAGCATTGCTAGTCTTCCTGGGGTCCACACAACACTTAACATTCATACATTATTACATACATTAAAAAAGAAGAAAATAAAAAGTTTAATACATTCTCCACATTACAAAGCATCTCTATAAACATTTCTTCCACCCTTTCTAATATCTATAACACCTACTATATAAAAAACGTATTGCTCATTCAATTAATTCCTATACCTCAACCTCCTATAAGTATAGAATTCCAAGGTGTGCCTTTACCTGCCTTTTAAAATCAATTTTTCGTGTTAATTAATGACAATGGTAAAATATTCCATAATTTCATTGCCCTAAATGTTTATTTAAGAAAATTAGTTTTAGCATTAGGGAGTAGAAATCTACCCTCTGTTGCTCGTCTAGTAGCATATTCATGTGACTGAACATTAGATTGTAATTGATTATACTGATCCAATGGAGTTTTAAAATGTAAAACCTTAGTGTCCAATTTTATTTTCATTTTATATAAAGACGTAAAATATTGTCTACATCTCCTTACTACAGCTACCACCCTTCCCATTCTCTTCACTGTGTTCTCAATATGCTTTGACCATGACAATTTATTATCCAGGGAGATACCCAATAGTTTTGCTTCCTTAACTTGCTGAATAAGTGTTTTATTTATATATAATTTCAGCTCTGGTTTGGACCGTAGAGAATAATTAGACCCAAATATTATACTCTTTGTTTTAGATGTATTTAGTATCAACTTGTTTTCTAAAATCCACTTTTCTATACTCTCCAACTCCTCATTCAAAATAGCCGTCAATTCAACCGACGTTTGTGCAGATGCATAAACTGTTGTACCATCTGCATACATTGTTAATTTAGCACTTCTTAATACCAAATATAAATCATTTGTAAAAATGGAATACAAAAGTGGTCCTAAACAGCTCCCTTGTGGAACTCCACGTTCAGTTCCCCTTCTATCTGAATAACTTCCATTAAAAAAACACTCTGTGATCTATTATCCGAATAACTTTCCATCCAAGCAATTACTGATGGTCTAAATCTATAACTCTCCATTTTTTCCAAAATAAGCTTATGATCAATAAGGTTAAATGCAGCTGTAAAATCTAATCCGACTGCTCCACATATCCTTTTTTTTATCCAACCCTCGATACCAATCATCTGTCATTTGTGCTAAAGCTGTACATGTGGAGTGTCCTTTTCTAAAAGCATGCTGATAATTTGATAAATAATCGGTTAACGAGCGTCGGTTAGGTAAAATAACCGAAATGAACATCCCTAGTCTGCATACATTGTTAATTTAGCACTTCTTAATACCAGATATAAATCATTTGTGAAAATGGAATACAAAAGTGGTCCTAAACAGCTCCCTTGTGGAACTCCACATTCAATTCCCCTTCTATCTGAATAACTTCCATTAAAAAAACACTCTGTGATCTATTATCCGAATAACTTTCCATCCAAGCAATTACTGATGGTCTAAATCTATAACTCTCCATTTTTTCCAAAATAAGCTTATGATCAATAAGGTTAAATGCAGCTGTAAAATCTAATCCGACTGCTCCACATATCCTTTTTTTTATCCAACCCTCGATACCAATAATTTGTGCTAAAGCTGTACATGTGGAGTATCCTTTTCTACAAGCATGCTGATAATTTGATATCAGATTATTCTGTGATACATAATCTTGTATTTGATCAAATTCTGCCTTCTCTAGGATCTTACTTAACACTGGTAACACACTTGCCGGGTGGCTATTGGAGCCACTAAATTTTATTTTTCTATCTTTAGTCAAAGGCATCATTTTAGCTTCCTTCCAGGCCTGTGGAAATATTGATTGCTTAAGACTCATATTAAAAATATGACGTATTTGACCAGACACATAATCTATGGCTAATCGGATAAGATTATCATCTATATTATCTATCCCTGGTTGTTTGTCTTTACAGACAAATTTTATTAGCCTTTTCACAGTTTCTTCTCCCAATTCACTAAACTCAAAATAACAGTTCTTATCTCTCATATAGTTCTTTATATTAAGAATTGTAGAAGTATTTTCTGTCACGTATGATATTTCTTTCCTCAAATTCTGTATCTTACTGCTAAAAAAATCATTCAAATAATTAGCAATTTCTTCAGGTTTTGTCATATAAGTACCTTCACAGTCAATTGAAGTAGGTTGTGGAGACTTCTGTCTTCCCATTATATTATTAAATACCTTCCAAAGCTTCTTCCCATCTTTCTTCTTACTACTTAACTGTAATGT